GTGTTTCATGGTTTTAGATCTATAGTTTGATTATATGAATCTAAGTTTTTGCTCTTACTTACAGCAAGTATGTATGAGATTTGAAGCTAAAAAATACTGAAAAGGTCTATTAAAGATTGTTGTCATCGTTTTCACAATTTATGCGCGTCTATAACTTTCATATACTACAACTTTTTGTGTCTTAAACTGTGTGTGTTTGTTTAATTTAGAATCCTTACTATCTGTTTGATGAAATGCACATCTTTTGTTTGAATGAATGTTGCATGATGAGGATGATAAATTGTTTGATGAACTAATATTTTTTATGCAACCAGGATCATGTTAAAGTGGTTTCTACAAGATGCTGATTTTGTGACTTGATCCTATTATCTCTGATCATACGACAATTGGGCCAAGACTTTCCTGAGATTTAAAAATCTAACTTTTCTTTTCTGATGTGTTGTTATTGTACATGCCATCCATAAGAGGAGGGTGACTATGGCAAAGGCACAAGGCAACATTAAATGATTTACCTCTTACGTTCTAAAATGTGTTTATTATCGACGAGATCAAACTGAGATCATTGAAGAAATTTGGTGAAACAACAGAGAAATATTTAATATAAAACTTGTTTGAACATTCCCAGTTGAGGCTACATCAAGACTGGATGGATAACAAATGGCTCATGGCTTCTAAGGTATGATTCAAATGTTTGTTTTTTTTAGTATGCACACTGACACTTTTGTTTAACAGTACAGTAGACTAATTTGGATAGCAGAACTTTGGTATCACCTAACACACTCAAAGTATTCTCTTAATTCATCCATATTATTTTGATCATATGATTACTGTTGCACCCCAAAATTTGACCAACATTTATTTACCCATCAAGAGTTGTATGAGACTATGAAGAAAGTCAAGAAGTTTGTTCAAGTGTTCAAAGGTTGATACCTTTGTAAGAGAACTCAAGAGATCCTCAGAGGGATTGGTTGAAACCAAGGTTGTGTGTCTCATAACTTGAGAGTTGTGGGAGCTCCTCAGATGATTCTGAGACTATGAGGATGGACTTGAAGCTTTGAGAAAGCTTATGAGATGTCTTGAAAGCCATCATGAAGCCTAGAGAGGTCATTGTACAAGAATTCATAAGATTCAGCCATGAGTGGTGGAATTAGGGTTTGACTGGGTCAACCCTAGGTCAACTGATGATTTGGAGAGGGTTGAGACCTAATCCAAGAGCCATGTGATCATGGAATGATGCATTGAGATGCTATAAGGATGATTCCTAGACCAACTCATCATGATTGAGGAGTTTGGGAAGTTTTAAGCTAGGGTTTCTAAGGATTGACAGTGTAAAATCCCCTAGTTTGATCCCTATCTTCAAGGCAGTTTAGCTCAAGATGTTATTGTCATCTCATCTTCCCCACAACATTAATGTTGTAGAGCTTGTTCTTAGCTTTAATTTGACTACTAGAAGTCCTTGATAGGATTTTTAGAGCTCAAGTTATGACTTTGACAAATTACAGGTCATCTGAGGTATGTGAATTTGGGTCCTTGAAAGTCACCCAACTTGCATCCAACTTTTGCCCTAGTAGGATGATTCATATGGATTCTTGGTCAACATGAATGTTGTAGAGAATCTTCTTAGATTTCTATAGAGTACTAGAAGTCCTTGATAGGATTTGTAGAACTCAACTTATGGCTTTGACAAGTCAAGGGCATTTTGGTCATTTGGAGGTTATAGGTCATTTCAAGCATAGGGCCATATCTCCTATTTCCAAGCTTCAAATGGAAAAATCTTCAACATAAAACTTGCTTAGAATGATGTTTTAAGGCTAGTAGGGAGGTCATGAGATGTTGAAAAGGCTTGTATCAAAAAGTGATAAAAATGGCCTAAAATGGAGGCATAAGTTAAATAAGGTGAACTTGAAAATTGGAAATCACAAGTTATACATCCAAACCATGTCATATAATAGGTCATTCTGACTCCAAATGACATTCTAAGAACAATGGTTCAGCCACAATTTTGATTTGAGGCTTAGATTATAGGGCTGCCTTGGAAATGGCTTACTTGCATATTAAGGTACCAAAGCAAAACTCAAGAAAACTCAATAAACAAGTTGGTTATGCATTGTAACTCATCATAAATCTCATATGGGGAGAATTTCAAGTCAGAATCAAGGGTTACAAGGATCATGGCATGAGATAGCACATAAGGAGAATTGAAATCAAATTGTCATGACATGAGAAGTTCAAATACTCATTGGATGGTCCTAGATGGTTCTAGATGATTCTAAACCACTCTATATAACATGTATGACTTGCTCAGATGCAAGGTTGGTGAGAATTGGTGCAGAGAAGAGAGAGTGAGATCAAGAATCTTCCATTGCAAGTCAAGTTTCATTTCTTCATTCTTCTTCATTTCCATTCATTCTTTCCATTCAAACACATTCCATACATCATGGTGAAGGTGTGCAGATCAAGTTGAGGGCAATTTCATTGATGAATCGTGCATGAGCTTTTGGATTTTCACCTCTGCAATTCAAGATCGGTTTCCAAGAATCAAGCAGTTTCAACCATTCTTTTTGCATACAGAAGCTAGAATACTACTCAGTGAAGGAATTGGGAAAGATTGAAGGCCTGAATTGAGGGATTTCTTCATCTGTTCACTCGACTTTACCAGGTTTATAACTTTCTCTCTACACTCTAATTTAAGTAGAATTAGATAGAATTAATAGGTTAGAATGGTTAAGGATAACTAGGAGATCATTTCTGGAAAGTTTGAAGAGAATTGGTGATGGTTTTGTTGTTGATAAGATTTCTGTTTGGACCAAGAACTCCTTGAATCTTGAGTAATAATCTTAGTTCTTTAGTGGAGGTTGATCAGTGATAGGAGGTGAACATTTTAGTGTAAGCAATTTCAAGAATCTTGAGTTTTGATTTTCAAGCATAATTTGAAGTTGCTATCGGGTTTCAAGTTTGAGTGAGATTCAATGGAATTTGAGACCATGGTTAGATTCAGGATTGAATTTAGAGTGGATTAGGGCTTTGGATCATGATTTTTGGTTGGGATTTGATGGATTTCGAATTGAGGTTTGAACTCTGCAACTATGGCGCCTTTCCCTCCATTGCCATGGCTGAAGGAAGAAGACGACCCTGCAACCATTGGATCATAAGCTGACTTTGACTGAGACCAAGATCTGAGGGATGAGATCTATTTTCGCGCGTGAAGAAGAGAGTCTGAAGACACAATGAAACGTTGCGTTTCATTAAAAGGAACTCTGGGCTGGATTGCTTCCCACACCCCCTTCACGAGGCCCAATCAATTTTGAACTGAAAACCATAACTATTTGCACCGTTTCTTTTTCATTTTCTGTATGATTTATTTATTGATTTTCTAACTTAATTGGGCTTAGCACTAGTTACTTTTTGTACCCCCCATTCTGGGCCCATGCGCGTATTGAACTGCATTGCCTTGCTAGCTGCACCCATCCCTTCATGTTTTCATTTTATTTTCTTCCATTTTATTTCAAACTTTGAAAAATCATAATAAATTGAAAATTAAAGATTTTTTAATGGGAGTTTTTTCTCCCATTTCATATTTTTGTCAAGAAAAATATAAAATAAAAATATTTTCCTTCATGCATTTTTGATATTTTTTGTATATTTTCTACTTTTATTGCATTTTATTTCTTTTATGTTGATACCTGAATTTGTAGAATTTTGTTTAGGTAGTTCCCTTAGCATTTTTAGGCCATTCTTTTTAGGATAGTTAGATATATGTTTTAGCTTACCTCTGGATTTATCCCATAATTTTGTGGTGAATTTTAGGATAGTTTTGATTAGATGACATTAGGTTGTGTAGAATTAGGTTAAACTTCAACATAGGTCCATAATAACATTAGAATTTTGGGTTTTTAGGACAAATTAGAATATGGGACATATAGGGCATTAAGGGTAGGTATGTAGGATCCCTTAGAAATTATATTAGGATTTAATATAGTAGTATACTATTTTTAGATGATTTTTGTATATGATGATTGTTTGTGTTGCCCTTGTGGGCTTGAATTTTTGTTTGCTTTGCTTTGTGGGCTTGGAGAGCTTGGTATTGTTCTGAGGAGCATTGAGGAGAATGGTAGAAGATTTGAAGGAGCATTGAGGAGCTTGAGAGCTTGATCTTAGTTGTTTTGTTGATTGTTTTAGGGTTAGGGATTAGGAAGAGTTTAGACTTAGATAACTTCTTTCTTAAACATGGATGGTATCTTTCACCTCCATTCCTCCCTATGATTCAAAGTCCTTCCATGGTATACACCTCTCTCCTTTGGAGGGATAAGTGATTATACCTAGGAAGTAGAACTTTTGAGGGAACCATTCCTCTGATGTTGAACCCTTATAGGTCACCTTTGGTGGTCAATCAGCAGTTCAATATCCCCCAGCTTATCCAGTAAGTGATTTCCTCTGGTTTGATTGTCTTGAGAGATGTTGAGCTTGAGTTTGAAGATGAAGACTTCAATGAAGAGTGTAGAAGAGGATGAATCCTTGAGCATTGCCATTCCAGCTGAAGCTTGAAGAGCAACAAGAGCAAGTTGATACTTGAAGACCCCTGAAGATGAAGTAAAGACTGAAGGATGAAGTTGACACTTCTAAGTGATTGAGATTGATTCTGAAGAGCTGAAGCTTGAAGAACAAAGGAAGTTGATACTTACTTTGATGCTTGGAGATCCTGAAGGAATCCAGTTGATACTTGTGGTTAATGGTGAAGCCTGAAGGTGGAGCTGATCAAGGAGCTGAAGCTCAGAGAAGATAAGTTGAAACTTATGTTGAAGGGTGGAAACCTGGAAAAGCAAATTGATGTTTGTCAAGAGTGATTGAAGTCTGAAGACTGAGTTGCTGTTGGAAGAGCTGAAGCTTGAAGTTGAAGAGGAGTTCTGCTTTCTTTTTCTTTTGCTGTATTGATGTGTTTTGTCTGACTTGCTTGATGAATTAGAATAAGTTCATATCTAGAATAAGTAGAATCTAGGAGCATGATTGCACTAGAGGTTGAGTTGCTCCCTCTGCTTGTATTGTTACTGTGTGGCTTTGCTTGCGGGTATTCGGTAGAGCCCAGCTCCCTTGCCCATGTGGTTTGTTTGCCTGATGGCATTTCATTTCATTTTATCTGTATGATTGCAGTTTACTGTATCTTGCTTGATAGCATGTTGTTTATATTTCAGTATGATTACTGTTATTCATTCTGGCTTGAGGTTGAGATGAGCTTGTGGAGGCTGAAGCCCCACACACATTTCCTCCCTCACTTGCATTGCATGCATTTTACTGTTAAGCTGATGCTTTGTCTATTTTGGTGTATCATTGACATGATCCCTTAGGACTCTCATTTCCTTTGATAAGGAATTGATGATAGAACTTTAGGTTGAAACCTATGCATGATAACTTCTAGGAGTTCCCTGTTCAAACCTCAACCATAGGATGAATCCATGGCATGACAACAGTAGGACTTGATAGTCTCCCTCCTAGTTGGGCCTGTTCTCTTCTCATCTCAAAACAGTTTAAGATACAGTAATCATGAATGATTTCTTTCGTACGTTACAAGCCTTAAGCTATCTGAGAAAGGATTGTGGGAGAGTTTCTTTTCCACAGTCCGGATGTTTAGTATGGTACCCTTTGGGTGACATGCGACGCATTCACTCTCAGGTCATAGTCTCTAGTGCGATTGAAATCGCAAACACAATAAAAAACACTTCTTTCGTAAAAGACAGGAAATAAACCGTAGTTTCCCGAACTACGTGAGCTCTGATCTCTCATACCTGTTGAGAGTACGTAGGCACACGATGGCGATGTCTTGGTGAGCTACCTTGCCCCATAACCCCTCGTAGGCCGAACTACGTTGACTCTGATTTCTCGTTCTCTGATGAGAATACGTAGGCATAAAGTGCGACGCTTTGCCGAGTCATTTTTCTTTTCTTTTTAAGGCAGCCTTGATAGGTAGATAGAATAAAACCAACCCGTCCAAGTAAACACAACAAGCGAGGATCCCGTCGAGTACGACGGACGTGAGGGGTGCTAATACCTTCCCCTTGCGTAACCGACTCCCGAATCCAGACAATGGTTGCGACGACCTTGTCTTACCCTTTTTCGTCAGGTTTTTCCGATCGTTTCCTTTCCCGCTCTGAGGGATAAATAACGAAAGGTGGCGACTCTTCTGTTGTGCCGACACCTTATTTTCGCGAAAGCGACAATTACATATGCTTAATCATTGAAATTTGTCTGTAGTTCGATAACTTGGTTTACAAAATGATGTATTTTCTTCTAAAATTTTGTTGTAGTCTCTCAAAGAGAGCTGAGGCTGAATAGAGTATGTCGGAAGCCATAAAGGTATATATGGTCTGTTGGTAATTTCTCTCCGATATTTGTGTTTAAATTTTTTGTATTAAATCAAGATATTTGACTGCTCTTTGTTGTCATTGTATTAAATCAATATATTTTGGTTGCTCTTTGTTGTCATTGCAGGATGATAATAAAGATATTGACTGGAATGAAAGTGAAGGAGCCATTAAGAGAACATACAACGGATTCAGAAAGCTACTGGTCTTAGATCCTTAAGAACAATTGAAACTCCAGCATTTGAAGCATTGAGGTCACCCATTGAATCTGCTGCAATCAAGGTAGTAATATAGACTATATAGTTCTCTAAGTTCATACTCATTGAAATATCTTTTTGGATTGAATTCTTCCAGGTTCATTCCCTATTAAAGGACCTGGTTCACAAAGCTGTCAGCGAGACTTTGGTTTGTTCCTGGAACTTTTCATTTAATGTTCCTGTTGTATTTCCTACTGCAATATATTTTTGCTCAATAAATTGTATAACTTCTGGTGCTCTCTTTTTGTTGGGGCATTTTATTGACAAGGTTCATTTTGCAACATCACTTGAATGAATGGCTTCAATTTTAGAAGTTGAGAATGTTCAGATACATCCTTTTCATAGCTATCTTTTCAGCTATTTTGGTTATCCAGAAACTCTAACTATTTCTCCATTTCAATTATATTTGTGGTTATGAGATAGTTCTGCAGAATGTATGGAGAGTTGATAAGGATGGAATCGAGGCAGGTACAAATCTAGTCCCAGTATGATGAGATGAAGCTTCGGTTTAAGATCTTTTTGGAGAATCTTAAACTTATCAGGTCTACTAATAAGAGACGACTCAGTTACAAGCTCGGTGTTAATCGTATGTGTTATTATTTTTTCTTTGACTTTCATTTTTTTTTGTTAGTTAGGTTTTGTTTGGATTTGACTGAGATTTTTGAGTTGCAGATTTTGCTGATTGGACTTGGGAGGATTTTAAAAGTCATAGACTTGGTCCTGCTCAAAATTGCTCTGCGACTCTGAAGGGTAACCATAAGATTACTGATGCTAATCTTCCTGACGAGGTATATTAGCAACAACTACTATCAATTCTATGAATTTCTATGAATGAATTTAATAAATATGGAAACTGAATTGATATAAGTTTCAATTATTGTATTTTATCGAATTATTATCGGGATAGATGTGTCAGAGAAGTATATGTGTATCAATTAGTGTATGTGTTGGTGCTACTTATTTATAGTTTGGACGCATGACGTACCTTCAATATGAAGTTGATGTTGATGTATATAAACTCTATTATGTCTATTGTAGCTGTTGCTGGTATTTGATATTAATATAAAATGCTTATTAGGTTAGTTTCAATCCTAACACCAATTAATTTAAGTTTTGGTTATTTTGTGATTAGAATTAGTGTTGTCGATGGCAGACAGCGGTCCACGACGGAGAGCCAAAATCCTTCCATATTGGCCACTTTGCCGCGCCATTATAGCGGATTATGATTATGGCGAACTCAGACAGCCATGTATATCTGACATAGCAGTCATGGCGCCGCTATTTGATAACACTTTGGAATAAACGTATGAAGATTAATGAGATGGATAAAAATGTGATTTTTGATAGAACATTATAAGAGTTTGATTTGTGTAGTCAATTCCACTTATTAGGATAAACTTGGTTGTTTTTGTGATTATAATGAGTGTATTGCCTGATCATGTGATGTAACAATGTGTGTGACCATGTAAGGAGATTGCTTCCTATGTGTTGCCATTAATTTCCTGCCATTCAACTGAATTTTCACGTTTCTTTCCTTAATTACTATCGGAGGAGCTTTGTATAAATTTGTTTTCTTTTTATTCTTGTATGCAGAAAGACTGGAGGAAAGAAGGTATAGTTAGTGAAGTTAAAGATCAAGGCCACTGCGGATCATGCTGGACATTCAGGTTGCTTTCTGATTGTGAGGAACTTTTTTGGAATTATTAGAATCTTTGTGAGTAGGTCTATTTGAAAATTCTGAAGACTGAGTGCTGGAGTTGCCATCTTAACTTCTTGAAACCCTATCCTCTGGTCATATAAGCAAGCTGTTATTTTAGAATTGCACAAGCAAACTTAACATTATTTCTTTTGTTCAGTGTCTTTGGTTCACTTTCTTAATTTGATGCATTTAAAATTCCACCCACACGGGCTTGTATGTAGTTCCATGTTATCATATCTCTAACCATAACACTGTTCTCTGCAGCACAACTGGAGCGTTGGAATCAGCTTACGCACAGACATTCAGAAAGAATATCTCTCTTTCTGAGCAGCAGTTAGTGGACTGTGCCGGTGCTTTCAATAACTTTGGATGCAACGGTGGATTGCCGTCACAAGCCTTTGAATACATTAAATACAATGGTGGCCTTGAGACAGAAGAATAATATCCCTACACTGGCAGTAATGGTCTCTGCAAATTTACATCTAAAAATGTTGTTGTTAAAGTCCTTGGCTCTGTCAACATCACCTTGGTAATAATGCGTTTGATTATTAATTTACCGCTTGATGTGTGTGTTAACTCTACCCTAGCTAGCCCTGGCTAAGTTAATTACTTAAGTTGGCTAAGCTATTAAGTATATATTAATGCTAGTTGGGGGTTGATTTGTTGGAAACAATTCCGAGCACCACCCTCATTTGCAAATTCCCTTTATTTTCTCTGTTGATCGTCTATTCACATTATGTGATCATATTGATAATGTAATGTTGCCTTGCATTTGCTTTGCAGAAGCATGGCAGAATCAAATCACTCAAACCTCAACTTCATCTATATATGATTTTCTAATTGTGTTTAATTTTTATTCGGTTGTAGGGTGCTAAGGATGAATTGAAACATGCAGTTGCTTTTGCTCGGCCCATTAGTGTGGCATTTGAGGTCGTCCATCAATTTAATATTTTATTTATTACTATAATTGTATAATTTAATATTTTATTTATTGTTATAATTGTATTAATTTAAAATGATTGTAACAGATCTTTCAATATTATGTCAATTAGAGTTCATATGATAATAAGAAATTATCATTCAATTGTATTAATTATGAAATTGTGATGGAATTAAAGGTTTCATGTTCGAAGAATGGTAGATGAAGAAAATTGTAATGTGATTAAATCTTCAAATTATTATTTTATTTTATTTTAACTTTTTTATACATATTTATAGTAGCAGTAAAATATTACAATGTTAGATAATTTTATTATTTCATTTATTATAAATTTTTCAATTTAACATTAAGAAAAAAATAACACATAACATTGAACTATTATAAAATTGAATGTTTTTTTTGCCCTTTTTGCTTTCTTATGCTTCCATGTCACTTGCCTTTTTTGCTTTCTTCGAATAAAAAAATATACATAGATACTGCTCTTAATGTGCATTTGAGTATAATTCAACTATCAACCTGTTTAATACTATATCTCATTCTTTTTCTCATACCCGTGCAGACGCACGTGTCTTCTACTAGTTATAGATAAAAGAGTTGAATATACAACATTATTTGAGAGAGATTTGGTTTGCTAAATTTTTTTATTCCCCCTTTATAATATAAAGATACATTCTCTTTATAGATCTTGAATGTGTTATTTCAACCTAGATTCCATATTTGTTCAAGCGTGGCATTGCTTCATAATCTGGTATGGATTTTATTTTCCAATTTAGTAACTTTTATATTGTTACTATTTAATTACCCATTGTAAATGCTAGGGTTAGTATGGAATTCCCAAATTAGCTAACTCTCGTTCCTACAAAGAAGATGAACTGCATGAGCTGGTTTCGAGATGGTTGAAGACGCATACGGGGTTATTTCTGGACGGATGAAGACGAAGCACGGTCGAAAACGCCATTGAAGCAATGTCTAGGGTTAGTTTTTTCGACCCTATCTTCCAATGTTTGAGTTTCTTTTTTCGTAGTCTCTTTCAAATGTTTGAGTTTCGAATCCACTTCAAAGGACATGTAACACTTTAATGTCATGTTTC